CCTATATGTTTATTTTAAATAAAGTATTTGAAACTCTTCATGGGAGTATTCAACCTGCTTCTCCAGCATACTTCTCATATACCATCATCTTCCCTACACATTTGAAAAAAGAGCTAGAACTTGGGCTTCTGTTGGGATGAAGTATGAAACACTTAAGCAGAAGATAACAAGATGAAACAAGTAATTTAGTAATCCATTAGAGCAATACAAATAAATTCAAGTGCTCTCTGCTCTAAACAGAGAGCAAACAAATTAGTGACCAGGAAAACAGAATGTATACTACAGAATGTATACATAATGAGCTTTTTGCACATTAATTTTAATTATATTCAAGTATAAAGAGAAAGGAGGACTAAATGGTAGGTCACAGGTAAGTACATAAAGGTGTACTGACACGAAATGCATGTAAGACTGAGGACATGCCAGAAAGAAAGGCAGGGAATGAGAAGAGCAAATGACTGGAGACCAATAAAAAGATGAGAAAGACAGCTGAGGAGAGGCTGCTATCTATTTAAGATTGTCAAAATCTTCACAAAGCTGCTTTAGAAGCACTCAGAAAGAAACTGTGGTTTTATTGGAAGACCTAAAGCTCATGGATCGATATCCTCATGGGAGGAAACACAGCTCTCGGGGAAATGGGCTTTCCCTCATATATACAGCTTCAGTGGAAAAAAAGCAACCTGTCTTCAGTCCCTTTTGTCAGAATATATGTAGTTCAATAACCACGATGTTTTAAATCTTCTATACACTCTTGCATGTTATCTTACTGCAGCTATTTCTTGCTAAAATAATGCCTATGGAGCTTCCTGTGGGTAGAAGCATTTAACTCTTGTGCTAACTTGCTATTTATTGGGTAATTTTACTTTGGTTTTGAGTGCTTAGAGAAACACCTCACAGAACCTAAATACTAACCAAGAACCATACAGGTTTCTCCATCTGCTTGAAGAGCCATTTGATTATCCCTGTTCTAAAGCAATAAGCATTTTATGTCACTGTCCCAAGAACATATTTCTTGTTTTTCTGTTAAATAAAACCCCCCTATAAACTGAAAGATTTCTCCTCACAGTTTGCACCCTACTGTTCTAGATTCAATCCTTTACACTGGTAGGGCCTTTCCTCCAAACTATGTTTGTTCAACATAAAATTTCACCACGGGATTTCACCACTTAACATGCCCAACTCTTTACCCAAGACAAAAACTTATGCCATCTGATTCCATTCCTGCTCCTACTGTCCCACTTCTGCCTGTAATTTTATTAGCTTTCTCCAGAGGATCTGTCTGATGTGGAAAAAAACAAGCTAATAAAACAATCATGGACTTGAAGATAATGCTAGTAAGATTTTGAACTTTGAAAGCATTTCCAATATCTGCTCATTTTGACTGCAAAACATTTCCCAAAGGAAATAGGCACAAATACAGACAAAAATTAATCAGAAAACACTCAGAAACTTAACAGCAAACGTCTACCACAAAACCTGCTTTTACATTTCCAGCTTCTTGAAAAACTTTCCTGTCACCTGTTCTTGAAGACTACAGTTACTCACATTAGTCTTATTGTTATGAATATTTAAGAAGTCTCACAGGAAATTATGGGAATGGGATTGAAGTAAGGCTTCCTGCCTGTTAATCACCATGGAGTGACACCTTCCTGATACTGTCTGCTGAAACAGAGTAGCAACTTGTCTTTTGAAAGTTACATTAAGATGGAAAAGTATAGGACAACAGTACTATTTGGTGTTTCACTATACTGGTAGATAAATTTGTCTAAAAATACAAACTGCAAAAAGCATAAGCCTGTAATTTTTTAAAAATTGTATTTGAATACCTGTGGTTATTCCTGCATTCCTGTGGGAATACCTGCATGAGTTAGTTTGTACAAAGAAAATTTTGCAAAAGACAGGCAATTTCCAAAATTGCTTCTGAACATTTCTAAAAAAAACTAACTTTCCCTTATTTCATAAAATACTTCTTACCATAAAATTCAAAAGCCATACAACAACTTCACAACTTATAGCTGAAAAAGAAATACTGGAAGCACAGTAAAATTTACTCAAAAGGAAACTAAAAAAATCTATAAGCAACCATTTCCTATGACAGACAAATTCCTAAAAGAGATCATGCGCACCCATTATCTTAAACCTCAGAAGAGCTTACATTCTGAAGTTTAAACACATAAAAATAAATATCTTTCATTATATAATGCTCTACCATCAGTTCTGAGATATTAGCTTCTAAACACAGTTATATTTCTCAATTGGCTTTCACTACTCTGATAATCTTTCAAAACAGTCTAGGTTACTATAATATAGGACAATGCATTTCACTCTCTGCCTCTTTAGTTACATTGGTGACTATGAAGGCAAATACAATCTCACAAGAACTGACCTACAAAATGTAGAACTTGCTGATGGCTATGTTAATTATACTAAAGTAGTCCAACGTAAATATTGTGATGCTGTACACCACACAAAGAACACAGCTGCCTACTTAACTGAGTGCTAGGTATTAGGACACTTCAAATTACAGCAGCATTCAGAGATTCAAAATACTCCAGTTTTAATAAATCACAGTTAAAAGTATGAAAATTGGTACAGTAAGAGAAAACCATTTATACTGTAGCCCCAAAAGCTATTGAAGAACATGAAGAACCTGACCCAAAAAAAGAGTAATTCTTCTTCAGGCTCGACCACATCAATACCAGCTTGACCAGCAATTTTCTAAACTGCAGTGTACAACACCTACTGTGCTAAAAATATTCTGTTACTCAAACTTCAAGATATTCTCTCCAGAGATAGGATTTCCTGATAGGAGACTCAAATTAATAGGAAGTGCCCTTCCTGTGTTTTCTAGACTGCTAGACTAATGAGTTTGTTTTCAACAGCCTGTAAAAAAATGAAGGAGCAGGTTTTATTTGTTGACTGGTGTTCAGTGCTTTGAAATGAAGTGACCTTGTATACAAAGCCAAAGTGTAGTAGACCGCAATCATGTCTATTTAGGCACAATGCTGTAGCACGTTTGGCTTTGCCTGCATTCCTGAAGGAATCAGTACAGGAATTGCCTTGAGAGACTTTTCTTTTAGTCTGCAAGCAGCCCTATTCGAAACTGATGGGAATGCTTGTGAAAGAGCTGAGCAGAGACCCCTACTTTCAGCAAAGTAATTTTTATGTAGAGAAAGTGAACAGTTCTGGCCATGCGTGTACAGCTATGGCAAACCTACCTGACTCACTCAGCTATATAAAAACTCTACAAAAAGTCAGCACATCTAAAAAATAACAGAACACACACTCTGTTATAATACAAGGAAAAAAATAATCCTAATCTATCATTAGGATTTCCAGATATTAAGGCTAAGTGACAGTCACCACCAATTTGCAAGATAAAATGTGCTGTACAATCAACTAACTTTCCAGGCCAGTATGTTTTATGCTTTGTACGCAGCAAAAGACTGAAATGGAGGCAAAAGACTGAAATGAAAATAAAAATACAATTCTAAAACTAATCAGACATTTGACTGCGATTTATAGAGGACAAGGGGAAAACAGACAGCACCTGCATGCAGCTGGACTAGGAAATTCAACAGTCAGGAGGTCTTACCAATTATGAATTTTTCAATCTTTTTTATGTGCACAAAAAACCCCACCCACCATTAAAGAAGGTTAACAATATTGATTCTGACAGATTGGATCCTCCTGACTTCCTGCGGTATGAAATCATGCTCCTGTAAGACCCATGTTATTGCAACATTACATCACCAACAAAGTGATGAACATGTGCAATGACTTCAGCAAATGCAAATAAAAAAAACAATTCATCGTTAACCTGCTAATAAATTTTATCTTTCCTACTTATAAGCTAGCTGTCATAAAACACATACAGCAGCTCAGTTATAATAACTAAACTTCATATGTTCAGATACAAAAGATTCTTATATTAATCCAAGTTTATCTCATTTTCTCTCTTCCAGTTATTAGATGCCTAGTTTATTGTAAATGTTGCTACTCTTTGGTATTTTCTCTTAAAGAAAAAAAAATAGAACAAAAGAACTTCCGAGTAATTTATCTAAGAAAGTATTACTTTCATCCAGGAGCACTGGACAGTTAAATATTCTTTCACAACATGGAAAGAAAGGCGAGCCATCCACTTTGTCACAGATCTTAAATTCTCCTTTCAGTAAAGTTGCTAATAATAGATCAACAGTAAAAATACAAACAAGTTCTCAGAGAACTGCTATCAAACAGTGCCTGCTTGAGCAGGGAGTATGGACCAGATGATGCACTGTGGTCCCTTCCAATTTGACCTATTCTGTGACTCTGTGATATTGGGAGATACAGACATGTAATTCTGTGCCTTACCATATACTTTAGTAAGCATTTCATTCCTAGTCACAGACTGAGACAAACTATTGTAGTTACCATACTATTAAAATCTGAATATTAAAAAAAATGTTTAAAAGAGATGAACCTTAGAAACACTTTTAAACATATTTTGTCCATTTAAACTGCAGTAGCAACATCAATTTCAAAAGACTCTGACTGTTTTAAGGTGTTGTGTAGAAAATTTTAATTTAACAATCTAGTCACACACAGATATCTTCACTTATTTGTCTAATAATTTGAATTTTTTCTACTTGTAATGTAATAGCAGTCCTTAAGCAGTAAAGTTTTGCTACACATCGCAAGAATTGTTTAACTGTGCTCTAACCAGAGCACAGCCACATAGGAAAGGACAAGAGTTACTGAAATCAAATGGCAGCCTGCCATTAAACCACCGTTCTGTGACAATGTCCCCCACGCATCTTAAGAGAGGTCTCTGGTTTAAAAGCATATTTGTGCTGTAAAAGTAGACAAAAAGGCAGAGATCTAAATGCAGGACAGGAAATGCCCTTTTCCTCTAAGCTTTTAGTATCACTTCTGTGATTTGTCATTTTTTTGAGACCTTCAGTATATTTCCAAAAATAAAGAGGAAAAACTTCAGCTACAGAAATAAACAAAAATCTTACCTTGTTATTTTCACACTTGTATGGGATTTTGAGAGTATCCATGGCCTTGATCATGGCCTGCATTGCTGTAAATATATTCTGGTACACCAGTTTTGTAAAGCCCCTTTTGTCTTCATCAGAGTAACCTGATCCATGAATGATTCTCATTTGCTTGATAAATGTGCTTTTGCCACTCTCTCCTGTGCCTGCAAGACAAATAAGAAGGACATGCTTTACCCAGTGGACACAAACATGACTTTTTTTTGCACAATGCTGACAGCTTGTTTACTGCAGGGCTCAACAGTGTTAAGTGGTGCTTAACTATAAGGACCAGTTCAAGGTCAAACAGCAAAATCAATAGCAAATGAAGCAGTTAATTTAAATTTGCATTTTGATTTAACAACTAAACTAATGAGAAAAACAGCACTCCAAAATATACATATTTTATATAACTTCATATTTGAAAATAATTTGTTCTTAAAGATGCAATTGTCCAAAACTCTAATTTCATGATACATTTCATCACAAAAGTTCAGAGAGGAAGAAAAATAATCTTCCTAGGCTAACACTCAGGACACTACAGTAATCTGGTATTACAAGCAACTGATATATGCGTTTTGTTTTTTTGGTTTTTTTTTTCAGGGATGTCTGTTTGTTTGAGTTTTCAGTTTTGTTGTACCTGTTGGCTTGGTTTGTTATTTGTTTGTTTGAGGGGGTATGGTTGGGTTGGGTTTTTTTATTGAAACAGAGCCCATCAAACTTCAATCGCAGAACCATATGAAATCACTGTTAATTCAAATTTGGTTCATATTTATTAATAAGTAGTCATTCCTTTCACTAAATATTTTCCATCTTTTTATACTTTGTACTAAAAGTAGTTTATTGATGAAATATGACTATTTTGTCAAAGTTAAGATCCACAAAGGTTACAACACACAACATTTTTCCTTTGCTCCAATTCAACAGGCTCATCTATGACTACAAAAGCTTATCTATATTATCCCTGTGTTTGCTTAAGAGGAGGAGTTGAATCTGCACAGCAACATAAGCCCTGTGTTCACGCAGTTACCCAGCTCTGCAGAAAACAAAATGCATTGCTCAGTGCTTTGTTTTTCAGACTTTCAGCCTGGGCTTTATTTTAATAATTTCTGTAAAACTTTCATGCCTCATACCATAATACTCATGTCCAGGAAAAAGGCAAACTTACAGGCTTCTTAGATAATATTCTCAGGGTCTTCCCAAAAATCTGTGTTTCACAGCACTGCAGTTTAAAGGAGTAGCTCTTAATTATTTCTGAGATAGCACACACTGCAAAATCTAAGCCTCTAAAATCTTCTGTCCTTACCACAAGCATAATTTTGAAACCATCACTCCCATTTCCTGCACACATATAATGAACTTCTAATGCAGGTTTTCTTTACTCACACATTCCCAGAAAATCAAACATGTTACATACTACAGAATCAGAATGGCTTGTGCTAGAAGGGACCTTAGAGATCATCTAATCAAAACATCCCCTTGCCATAAGCAGGGACATCATCCATTAGAACAGTATGTTTGTTCAGACCCCATCTAACCTTGCCTTGAATACTGCCAGGGATGGGGCAACAAGTTCTCTGGGTAACCTGTGCCAGTGCCTTACCACCTTCACATGTAAAGAATTCCTTCCATTTCTACCCTTTTTCAGCATAAAACCATTTCTCCTTGTCCAATCACTACATGTCCTCATAAAAGTCCCTCTCCAACTTTCTTGTAGGCTCCATTTAGGTAAAGAAAGGCTGCTAGATCATCTCCCTAGAGATCAAGACACTGACTGGTATCAACTTGTGCTTTCTACAGCCTCATCCATTCATTACAGAACAAGTTAAAAAATACATCATGGCAATAAATTCTTAAAATTTTATCAATTTACGATAATTAAAAAAAACCCAAAAAACCACTTGGTAACAGCCTAAACAGGACCCTCAAGTGGGTCTGTTTCACCTGGTGGAAAGAATAAAACCTGAAATTACATAAGAAAAAAAAAATCTACATATTCTTTTGAGATGATATGAATTACTTATGGACTCTGTTAGCAACTGCTTCCACCACTCATTCTACTAATGCCTCCAGCTGATACAAGACAAGAGTAAAGGTGAAACAGCAGTGCAGTGGATCAACAAAATGGACCAATGGGGGTTAAAACTATACTGAGACCAATTTTCTGCTGGCTACCACAGCACATTTACATTAGTCAAGTCAGTTCTCTAAAGCTAGATACATAGTATATTCTCATCTCTCAGAAGACCGCTTGAGGCCACACAATGTACCTCAAACTCAGTCAAAATCAGAATAACACCATCACACTCCCTCATCTTTTAAAAAGCATTACTTTCAACCTTTCCCCCCGCCATCCCCTCCTTGTCTAGTACTTAGGTGAAAATCTAATTGTGACTGAATAAAACCCCACACTCCTGTTTCAAGCACACAGCTCGGTTGGTCATCTGACTTTTAAACTTCTCAGATAAAATCAAACTAATAAATGACAAAAGATTAACTGTCTTCTAGAAATAACAAGAAATGTCTGTAATAGTGATGAACTTTTCAATCATGGAGTAGAGGATTATCAAAATTTGTAAGAGCTTAACATCTTAAAAACTGAAAATTTCTCAAAACTGCTTTTTTTTCCTTTCCCTTGAAATGTTAATAGCTACAACTATTACTGTATCATCAAGAATTTTACAACCAGAGATCTGAAAGTATTTCTAGCAGTATTACATCCACAAGCAGAATCAGGAAAGAAGGCAGGTTGCTTAAATGCAGAATAGATCCTTATGCATGCACTTGCACCCAGATATATACATGTCATGTACAATTTATTTCTCCTGGTACACATCCTGCAAAAATCAAGCTACAGAATGTTGAAATGCAACATTCTTTACTCCACAAAACTAATGGAAAAAAACTTTAAACATGGTTAATTTTTAAATAGGTGACAATGCAACTACTGGCAGAGAGGTTTCAGAACTTGTGGTGACTGACAAAGAAGATACAGAAGACTAATTTAAAAGAAAAACAACTGCAGAAGCCTAGAATGACAACCCTTTCCTTTGTATGGTTTTCCTGTACTTGTTTTTGCATTTTTCTGCATTGCAACTTAAAAAAAAAATCTTAGGTATAGTAACTTCAGATCAAATACAAGACTGTTTTTTAACTAAAACAACAAACTTAGCATTCTCTAAGCAAAATTCACACTGGCATCTCTTAAACAGAAACACTGCTAAACTACACCCGATAGTGTTTTTTTCCCTCGGGTTTGACCTATGAAAAGGCAATAAAAACTTGCTATTTTATTGTTTAAAATTTTATATTAAATTAGATAGAAGAGGACATTCTTAACAGGTAAGAAAGGAGAAAGTAACTGAAATCCACACACTGTTAGTATACACACGCGTACTAGGAACTGTCAAAATAACAGTGTGTACATCTGCAGAAAACTGACTTTCATCTTGGGCCTGGATGAAGAAAGAAATCTGACAAGTACCTGGAAAGTGAAGATTCATGGATCAGGCTGGAACCAACATCTTACATAGATGAACAGAACCATACTATAACCACAGTTGCATCAAACATTTACTCATACAAAGCAGTGGGTTGTACACTGCCTCACAGATTTACAAAAAAGGGGAGCAATCAATCTCATCAGATAGTAAGCTGCAGAGTAATTCCTAAGAAGAGTAAGAGCTAAAACAGTAACAGAGATGTAATGACTGAAAAGAAAAATACTTGATTTCACTTAAAGTTATACTACACTTGGAAGAGAGCTTAATGTCCACTATGCTACCACTAATTCAGCAATAGATAAAACAAAAGATAAGGTTTTGTCTGTTGCTGTTCCAGCAGTGGATTACAACGGGATCATATTTCCACTGAAACCAAGTATGGCTAAATGAAAACATAAAACTGTGTAGAATTCCGGCTTTGGACCTGCTCGGCTTTGCAGGTGACAAATCAGTTGAAATGCAGTAATGGAATGCACGAAGATCCACCCTGGAACTGAAGCGAAGAAGCCAGTCAGTCTTTCCTACCACTTAGAACAGCAGCTTTCAGGCTCACAGTTGAAGGCTACTGCCGGGAGGGATATTTGGTTGGTAAGACTGGAGCAAAATTCCCTGAAGTGGAGGTGAAGCTCCCCAGCTCACCCTGTAGCATGTATCTGGACAAGTTCTGGAGCAGAACTACAGTATCTCGTCTCTATCAAAAGAAGAAAGCAAAGCTAGTGAAACAAGGAGCTAATGAAACAAACAGCTCAGTCCATCTGATGTGGTCATGCACCTAGGCAGACCGTGCTCTCATCCTGATATCTTACAAAGAGATCCACACGTCTACATCACCTCTGCTTGACCATCACCTCTGTCAATAGTTGCCACAACTGAGTTGACCTGCTTCAAGCTGCCACAGCTATCGCTCGGGCAGTCCTTTTCAAGTCAAAACTGCTAGTTACTCTACGAACTTTTTTCTCTATTGCTTAAAAAGTATTATCTCTGTAACACTGTATCACTGTATCATACTTCATGAAAGATACATAACTACCAACCTACACCTCCAACCAATTTATACTACCACAAGTTAGTAACTTCTGGTTATTAACCATAAAATACTGACCATTTTCACCTTGGTCATAGAAACACCAAAGAATTTCAGTGACAACTCATGCAGAGACAGAATTCCTGTAAGGAATTACCAGTTCTGATAATGGATACAGTAGGCATATGAATATTTTTCACAAAATGAACAGTAAAACCATTATATCTTCCTTCTGTGATTATCTAACTCATTAATTGATATTAATAGATTAAACCTCACAAGAGTTGCTTGATGTTAGGAAACATTTCAAGTAGAGTTACAAAAAAACCAAAAAAAAAAAAAAAAAAAAAAAAAAAAAAAAAAAAAAAAAAAAAAAAAAAAAAAAAAAAAAAAAAAAAAAAAAGAAACCAGAAAGAGAATTAAGGTGTCCTCAAGTCTGTTCCTACATCAACAGCACCATGTTTTGCAGTTATGTTAAAAACTGAACAGAATAACCACAAAAAGCCAAATTAGGTGAGAACTCCAGTGATAGCATTTTGAGATTTAACAATGCACAGGTTGAAGAACCACTTAGGAAAAAAAGGAAGAGGGGTACATATTGTTCTATTGCCAAATGTTTGCTCCACTGACAGAATATCTT